TTTTTCAAAAGAAATTTGGCAATCTTCCTGACTTCCCTGGTGGTCCAGTGGTTAAGACTCTGAACTCCCAACGCAGAGGGCACGGGTTCCACCCCTGGTCGGGGAACTAAGATCCCACATGCCACAGGGCCGCGGCCAAAAAAAAAAAAAAAGGCTCTCCTTGATGTAGCCCAGAGGTTCTGAATCACCAATTCAAATTCCATTAACATGTACTTGGCAACTATTATGTTCTGAACACCATCATAAATATTTTGTTTCGTTCATGTACTATAAGCACCCCAACACCTTGCATCTCCTCATCAATAGAGCGTGTTTCCTGTACTAGGACCCAAAGTCACTCAGTGGGTAATTTTTTCCTTCTCTGTGGGTGATTTTCAAAAACCACATTTGACGTATCTTAACACCCTCCTGCTCCACTGGATGACAAAACCCTTCTGTCCAAAGCTGAGCTGTCTACAGGATCTCAAGCCCTATTCTTTACTCATTTGCTCCCTGGACCTTCATTCTCTCATGTATTCCCTGATCATATATACACACGCTAAGAAGAAATTCTTTGAAGACGGAGACTGCATCTTATTCACCCACAGAGACTGACTCAGAATAGGCTCAATAGATATTTTAAGAGAGTGAATGAAGTCTCTCTCCCATCCAAGAAAAAAGATACTTTCCCTTGACCTCAAACCTCCTCCGGGCTCAACTCTTCTTTCCCTACACAACTGTCTTCAAGGTAAAGTCTACACTTGCTGTCTCCACTCCCTCCTGCCCATCCACAATCTAGATTGCAGCCAGAAGTAATGAAGAGCCCCCGCAGCTGCTTCCATTAGGGTTGCCCACATCCTCTGGTTGTGAACTTCAAAGGGGGACTTTTAGTCCTTTGCTGCCTTGTCCCTTCTGACAAGTTTCTCAATGTTGACCACTCCAACCTGCTTGAAACTCTCCTGGTTCTCCTCTTACCTCTCTGGTTGCTTCTTTTCAGTTCCTTAATGGCTTTTCACCCCTGCTTGACTCCATCCTCTCCCCTCATTCCACCTGCATCCTTTGGACAATTTCACCTAATCTCTTGATGTCAGTGACCACATTCTAATACTCCTTCTGCCACTGATAACAGCTTACTTTCATTAGGTACCAGGTACTTTGCAAGTGTTCTCATTTCACTTTCATAACAATCTTCATCTCTCACCTTGGTCTCAGTTAGAGACTACTATTATTGCCATTTTTACCACTTAGGAAACTGAGGTCCAGAGAGCGTGAGTCGCTTATCACAGGTGATTTGAGTTTGCACCTGATTCTCAACCTGTCCTCCTGAATGCTGCACAAGAATGCATCTACCACATAAACCCTGATGATTTCCATATGTTTGTCTCCTTCCTGAGTTCCAGATCAGGATAGTCTATTAAGTATTTCTACCTGGATATCCTACCCAGATAGCACCTCAGCCTCAATTTAGCTGTTTTAAAACTAATTCAGTCTCACCTCCCTCCTTTCCGGAACGTCTCTTCCTTCCCATAAGCTACATCTCTGCAACAGCATCACGATTTATTTTATTGGCCCAGTCAAAAGCCAAGGAGTCACAGCTGTAGACTGAATGTTTGTGTCCATCCTCCCTCCATTCATATGTTGAAATCCTAACCCCCATTGTGATAGTGTTTGGAGATGGAGCCTTTGGGAGATGAACCCATATGAATAGGATTAGTGCCCTTATAAGAGACCCAGAGAGCTCTCTTTCCCCTTCTACCATATGAGGACACAGGGAAAAGACAGCAGTCTATGAACCAGGAAGCCAGCCATCACCAGATACTGAATCCACCGGCACCTTGACCTTGACCTTCCCATCCTCCAGAACGGTGAGAAATAAGTTTCTGTTGTTGGAAGCTACCCAGTCTGTGATGTTCTGTGACAGCAGCCTGAACAGACTAAGATAGTCATTCAGATCCCTTCTTCACCCCATCACCACTTCTAAACTGACTTCACGTCTAAATATATCTTATCTTCTCTCAGCTGGAGAAAAGGCGCCCCCATCTTCAATCCAGCCTTCACATATTTCCTAGAGTAATTCAACTAACCCATAAAATGGATCACGTCACTCCTCTGCTAAAATTCCTTAATCAGCCCCCGTAAAATCCAAATTACTCTACAAGGCATTTAGGATCTCTTTAGAATCTGGTCCTGTCTATATCTGCAACTGCATATTCTCCCCTAAAATTCCCTCCTTCATGCACTTTTTGGCTCTGAAGATATAGGCACAGTTCCCCGTATGAGATATGATTTCTCACACCTCTGTGCCACAGTGCATACTGTTCTCTCTCCCAGGAACACAATGCCTGTCATCAACTGTAGAGGGCCTGGGAATTAACCCTGCTTGCAAGCTAACAAGTCAGGCTGCCACAGGTTAGGCTGCCACAAGTTAGCTTCCTGGCAGAGGACATGAGACTTCCAGGTCAGAGACAAGGGACCAGTTATTACTCAGAGCAATAGCAGTAGCCACAGAGGCAGCATTTCTGCTGGTTTCCTGACCCTCAGTCCCCACAGGCCAGGTGACACCTGTATCCACAGTGGGTTACAGGAAAGGCACCTGAGTTTCGGGGGACTGAATATTTTATAATGGGGAGTAAGCATGTCTGTCCTTCAATTCTGGAGTGTCCTCCAGAGAGAGAGACTATTTCTATCTTCCATGGCTGCTGCTATTAAAAAAAAGAAAAAAAAATTGAAAAGGTAGTCCAGAACAAAGCAGTCAGTGCCTCTGCTCACAAAACAGAATCATGATAGACCCAAGAAGACTCTCCCAATAACTCCCACACTTGTCCTCTAACCTAATCCCAACTCATATACAAGTCCTAGTTCAAGCAACTATCACCTCTTCCTTCCAAGGTGATGTAGGGCATCCATCACCATGTCCTGCTGCACTTTGTACCTATCATCATATTTACTTTTAAAAGTTTGCACAGGTTTCCCTCAACAAGTCTGTAAGCTTCTTAAACTCATAAGGTTTGGGGTCTCTAAAACCAGTATTCAAATTCTAAACCTTTTCTGAACTAGAACTGAAGTCTATTCTTTTTACTCTATGTTTTTATGTGTGATATATGTGCATATATCCTAAGAATTAATTTTTATAATACAATTTGGACATAGTTAAGGGCTAATTTTTTAACCTTAAATGTTCAAAAGTTCAGAAATAAACCCATATTTTGTTTAGAGTGCTGAAGTATTTCATGAAAGTGTATTCCCTGTCTCTTCTCCTTTAAAGTACAGCTTCTCTTGATGATGAAAACAGACTTGCAGTTCATATAACCCCATAAATAATGATCTCTCTCTCCTTTTTTCTCTCTCACCTACAGGTGAAAGTGGCATTAAATGTCTGGCTCAGCTTCCACTCCTATAACTGAATCTGTTTGAAGTTATAACTGTTGACAGCTGGTAACCCCAAGACATGCTTAAAGCAGTACTAGAATTATTACAAAGGATAGACCCAAGAGCTATCAATTAGTGTAGATGAGGCAGTTATTAATATGGTGGCAACAAGGGTAGCAGAATTACTTTGTTTTCTTATAAGGGAATACATGCATAGTGCAAAAAAAAAAAATACACAATTTAATTGTTTGAATCATTTGGTAAATAATCAGTCATCAAATTAGTTCTGCCATTTCACTGACAAAACTATTTGGATGACTTGAGTTTTCACTTTTCAACCAGCTGGAGCACATCATAGTTTCTTTGTAAAAAAAAAATAGATTGGACTTTAACACTGTTAATAAACTATCAAAGAGTAAGTTCTACTTCAGACATAGTCAAATTATTTATAAACAATTCAGATTCTGCTGACATAAGATTCATGGTAACTTAGACTAGGTAATTATTTACTGTTCAATAAAAAGTTCCATGAGGATTAGATAGCAAGACGGCAGAGTAGAAGGATGTGCTTTCACTCCCTCTTGTGAGAGCACCGGAATCACAACTAACTGCTGAACAATCATCGACAGGAAGACACTGGAACTCACCAAAAAAGATACCCCACATCCAAAGACAAAGGAGAAGCCACAATGAGATGGTAGGAGGGGCACAACCACAATAAAATCAAATCCCATAACTGCTGGGTGGGTGACTCACAAACTGGAGAACACTTCTACCACAGAAGTCCACCCACTAGAGTGAAGGTTCTGAGCCCCATGTCAGGCTTCCCAACCTGGGGGTCCAGAAACGGGAGGAGGAATTCGTAGAGAATCAGACTTTGAAGGCTAGCGGGATTTGATTGCAGGACTTCGACAGGACTGGGGGAAACGGAGGGCACACACAAAGTAGTTTGTGCATTGGGACCCAGGGGAAGGAGTGGTGAGCCCATGGGAGACTGAACAAGACCAACCTGCTGGTATCGGAGGGTCTCCTGCAGACGTGGTGGGTGGCTGTGTCTCACCGCGGGGACAAGGACACCGGCAGCAGAAGTTCTGGGAAGTACTCCTTGGCCTGAGCCCTCCCAGAGTGTGTCATTAGCCTCACCAAAGAGCCTGGGTAGGCTCCAGTGTTGGGTCG